TTTAGATCATTTTAGATCATTTTAGGTCATTTTAGATCATTTTAGGTCATTTTAGATCATTTTAGGTCATTTTAGGTCATTCCTTCTTTTAGTAACTACGCAAAATACTTAGTAAAAGTAGGATATAATTTAAGAATGCTGAGAAAAACTGATGCGTGGTATCTTTTTAGTTTAAAGAATCAAAATATTGTATTGTATTGTATTGTACATCAGTAGCAGTTTCCTTTTCTATTATTGTTTTTTATAGCAATGAGGCATAATTAGATTACTATGGCAGCTTCACAATGCTCACTTTGGGTAATTAATTATTTCACTTAGTAAATGATGGATGAAGTGTGTACACTGAGTCTATAGGTCGGCACCAGTTCCCTTTCTATCAATATTATTGATGCTCACAAGTCCAGTCACTAGTTTGAGTGACAAACCAAAAAATTGAGGAGCAAATACAGCACGTATGGAATCAGTCTATGTGTGTATTTCCTGGAAATAATGTTTTTAACCCATGACACATACCATCCTCCGCAGACACCTTTATTCCTTTCTGGTCTAACCTGAGTATCAGGCCTTCAAGGGGGCCTGTTTTCCCCTCGAGAGACTGATACTCAGATTATTTCTGGTGTTCTTACCATTCTTGGGAATCCTATCTCATACCCAGGCTACTCCACTTAACTATCTCATACCCAGGCTACTCCACTGTTCATCACATGTTTTTGAATGAGCAAACGACAATCCGAGAGGAACTCAAGCAGAATGAAATGCTTCCTACAGAGGAGATAAGCATAAATTGAGTCTTGTGTACTACAACTCCTCTGCATAACTTTTATCATTTGACAGAATAGCAAAAGCACCTGTAATTTATTACGATGTAAGTGCTACTTCAACCTAAAAGTTATTTATTTTTGTCGAGCTTTCGGCTCACCGAGCCATTATCAAGACTGAATGAAAAACATTACATTTTACAAAACAACATAAAAACAACCTGTAATTTACTCATGAGCCAATTGCCTCTGGCTCTACTGAAACTTTTGATGAAACTAATAGAGGATGTGTACCAGTGATGCCTTGTTTGAGGGTTATAGGCACAGGGATCCCTTAGTTATTCATTTATCTTCCTGTGACCCCAAAAATTCTTGTGGGTCAAGATCACATCATCAAGGCACCTGAGATACTCAGCTTTGGTTTTAATATGGCAGCAGTTCACTTTCCAGAAATCAAAAATAGTTTGCCTTTTATTTTCAAATATTCCCTGTTCTCCTTGTACCCATTGTAGAATGGAAAGAATACTATTCCATGTTCACTGGGCAAAATGCTCAGAGTGTATATTTTGTACATTTTATACAAAACCTTTCAGCCTGCGTGGAGTTGGTCTAATCCCCTTTAGCCATCAAATATGCTAATTAAACACCAAATTAAACAGAAAAGAGCTTGAGAACAATGTTGGTACTTGAAGGGTGTAAAAAAAAGAAAAAGCAAAACAAAAATGCCAATATAGATCGACGATCTGTATTATAGTTAGATGACCATTAGGGAATGGTTCATAAGGAAAAGGTGTGCACGGAATACTCTCGTGAGCAGAAAGATGTCACAGCTAGTCCAGAATTAGTTCGTGACACCCAAAGATGTTGGCAAATTGATTAATGTATGAAGGAAAAAAATGAAAACGATTTAAAGGCTTTTTAATGATTTAATATGTGTGCCCCTAAAAATTYCAATTCTCGCTCGACCATACTTAATATTGAAAGAAATAAACCATACGATGCTTGACGAACCACAGGGTGTGATGCTCATTGAAATGCACACTTGCAACATGCGATCATGCATATCAAATGAATACAGCTTCAAACGGTGACACTATCTGAATTTTGTTTAGACTAGGGCGTCCTCAAGTCAACATGTCATTGGAGTTTGAAAATCGTTCCAGCAGATGGAAAAGGATTTGCAGAAGAATGAAGAAAGACCTTCTTCTTATWCTGATTGYGACCGGAGCTGTTTTAGGCTTCATTATAGGTGCCGCGATCAACCCAGCAGTCAATGCTGTCCAGGACCCCGAAAATCGAGCTACAACACTCATGTTGATTGGATTTCCCGGTGAACTTCTTATGAATATGCTTCAAATGGTTATTTTACCATTAATTGTAGCTAGTTTGATAACTGCSTTAGCTGATTTAGACACTACAGCGTCAGGTAAGATTGGTAGACGAGCTTTATTATTTTACCTTACAACGACCCTGAGTGCGTCTATCTTGGGTATGGTTCTTGTGGCCTCCATTAGACCTGGTAAAACTGATAAACCAGTTGGAGAAAAATCAAATTATGCACCATATCGAATCCTGGATTCGTTCCTCGACCTTATCAGGTAGGACTTKCAACCGTTAAGATCCTATTAACATTATACTTTATACAGACTAGATAAGGATTTATAATTGCTATATGTATTAACTACTCCAATGCAGGACAATTCCTTTTGCAAAAACGGGAGGGAAGGGGTCGTATTCTGCTCTCGCACACAAAAACGTCAAAGGATGAACCGGTTATACTAAAAGAACAGACCCAACGAACACACCACGTTTAAGTTATGCTTCGCTGCGCTAAGAAGAAAAGATTTGTGGAGTCAACGTCCTCTTTCAACCCTGTCAACGTCAATGATGGTCCAGTTGCGCCGGGGTTGAGAAGTCAGCTCAAGGGGACATAATTTGATACCGTTACAATTGCAAATTGTATGCCTTGGAGAAAATCCGTCATACAAATTTATACACTCTTGTTTTAAAGGTTGAGCACCCGGGGGGGAGGGGGGGTGACTATTAAAAATAATAGTCAAAATATAGTCAGTAAGATCCCACGACTTGAAGTCTCTTTTTGTACCAGGGTGGGCCTAGGTCTTTTATCCGGTCGGACCCGGTCCAGATGTCAAACAAGTTTGTTTTACTAATGCAGATTTGGGTTTTCTCGTGAATGTGCTTTTTATAATGTGTAATCCTGTGRTTTCGTCCATTATCTCCCAGCTGGCAATCCATTAGATGAAGGTGCAATAAAAACCTAAATGGATACCGGTGGTTTACAACAGACGATTAGTATCGAGATTTAATCTTATAGTAGACCACTGTACTATTGAATGGTTTAACGGGKAATTTCGTTTATTTACAGGAGTCTATTTCCCAGAAATCTTGTGGAGGCAACGCTGCGACAAGTAAGCAAAAATATACTGTGAGAGACTGTGGTCGATGTGTATTCGTACAATCTGATTGGTTGGATGGTTGATTTGAAAYTTGACTGTTAGTGAATAATTATAATTTTTTTCTTCCAGCAAAAGACTGCGTATCGGTCTGTTGTTGCTAAATACGATCGTTATAACACAACAGTCGATGTGTCTAGCCTTCCAGTCAACGAAACTATTACAATTATCAACAATGGCACACACAATATCACTACAATCAGTCGTCTTGTCTACCCAGCATCCAATACAGTKCCAAACGGTACCAGAATGCAATGGGGCATGAACATCCTTGGCCTTGCCCTCTTTTCAGTTCTATTTGGGTTCATTTTGGGGAAAATGGGCGAAAAAGGACGAGTTATGCGTGATTTCTTCAGAATATTRAATAGCATAGTTATGAAGATGGTTAACATTATTATGTGGTAAGATTTACCTTGTCAGGAGAGGGGTAGGGTTGATAAACTCGAATCACGTTTCAAAAAGTACACATTTAATAAGTTTACTATATTCATTCACTTGTACGTAAAATTTCTAAAGGTCAACAAGAGTGAATCAAAATCTAAGCCAAAATCGGTTGTATTTGTAGGTACGCCCCTATTGGTATATGTAGCTTGATTGCTACTAGGGTTGCCGACATGGAGGATATACCGGCTGCTGTTGGTATGCTGGCGGTATTTATAGTTACTGTTCTGACCGGTTTGTTTATCCATGGGCTGTTAGTACTACCATTGATGTACTTCATTGTGACCAGGAAAAACCCGTACAAGTTTATTGCTGGTATGAGGCGTGCTTTGGTAACTGCTTTTGGAATCAGTTCTAGGTATGTACCTGTAGCGTCAGGCGTTACTCGCGAGAAACTCCTTTTCTACTACTATCCTCACGCTAAAGCTAAGAGGACTATTCAGAAATTTGTAGTCGACTACCGTCAATAATTGCTTCGTTTGTTATTCTTATTATTATGATCTTTGATCTTTGTTTAGTTCTGCGACATTGCCGACCACTATACGCTGTCTTGAAGAAAACAACAAAGTCGACGAGCGAATCAGTAAATTCGTGTTACCMCTGGGTGCTACGGTGAACATGGACGGGGGAGCTCTTTACGAGGCCATATCGGCTATATTTATTGCACAAATCAGCAACATTCCCCTGTCTCCTGCTATGTTTATTGCTACTTGGTACGTATAGTTCTAATTCGTTCCCACCGTCCCGCTTTCCAATCCAAGTATACTCTGTTTGATAAGAAATTTGAGTACTAGCTTGATAATAAGATTTATTGCAGACGTTTCGACCGCAACTGCGATCTTCTTCAGTGCAGTGGCAAAAATGCAAAGTGTGCACGCGCGACTAACGGTTTACACAAAGAATAACAATGATTAGCTGCAATTTTAAAATATACTCTGTTTCTTCGCTCCTTCTGCGAACGTCCTGTTGTTCTAGTGTATTATCGGCTAATATTCATTGTTGGTTGTTAGTGTAACTGCGACTGCCGTGTCAATTGGTGCAGCAGGCATTCCATCAGCAGGATCGGTGACAACTATCATAGTTTTACAAGCTGTCAATCTCCCACTGGAAAACATTGGACTGCTAATGGCTGTTGATTGGTTCTTGTAAGTATAGAACGGACAGTATAGGCAGGAACTTCGGGCTGACAGACGGTCTACTAATGGCTGTTGGTTAGTTCTTGTAAGTATAGAACGGAGTGCAGACAGTATAGGCAGGTACTTCGGGCTGACAGGCGGTTAGGTGGATGTATCCCTCATAGGCGTCATCACTGTTTTCAGACCTTTTCAGTCGAGGTCATGTGTCATTGATAACCGCTGGCTTCAGGTTTATCGCCAGGRGCGGATCTAGGACTTTCTTCAAGGGGAGGGGGCGCAGGGCTCTCAGGAGGGGTTTGACTTAACAAAAACTATTACAAAGGAACAGTATTAAATGATGCAAGATGAATGAAATAATGAAAGGAAGAGACGATAGAACGGAGAAAAAAGTAAGACTAACAAAACCAGCAGTAACGCGTTTTTCATGTCCACGTCTAGGGATCGTTTTCGCACGACAATCAACGTTCTTGGCGACTCAATTGGTGCTGGCATCGTGGAACATCTATCACGCCATGACCTTGCCCTGGTGGACTATCAAACAAGCAATCAACACGACCCAAGAAGTGAACACAATGAATATCCCAATCGYCACACCGTTGATTGTGACAATTTGGTCATGACTACCATGTAGTGATTTTATCCCCCCTTGAAACATCAGTTACAGTTGCCTTGCCATTTTGTGTTAAATACAATCATAATATATACAGTATTTTAGAATTTTGTTGTGAATCTCTAGGTAATGAAATAAAGTTTTTTTTGAAAAGTTGTTTTGAAAAAAAATGATAGCAATGCCATTTATAATTCTTTATTTTCCGTGTCACGCAATAACACTAAATCACCAAACCAATAATTCACCGGTTGTACATCAAATCCATAGGATTTTCGGCTCCTTTTCTACGCGGTTTCTCGATAGATTTCTGTTAAAAAGAAAAGATGCGAAAGAAAAACATGCACAGAAAGTATTAACAATGAATAGACAATTATGAGAAATTACATTTCTTTATTTCGTATTTAAGTAAATGCCCATTACATATCTCATGGTAAGCTTGGATGAGTAAAACTACTTTGAACACAATATATATATTGGCACTGTCAAGGTAGTCTGAAACAGTCCAACAAATGACATCGGTAGAAAGCGATTTCACGAATTGTTGTTGGTCCGCAGCTAATGTTAGTCTGCGTAGCGGCTGTAGGGGAGGGGTGGAGGAGAAAAGGAATGGGAGCTCCCCCTACCCCCTTTCCCTTCCGTTTTCCCTCTTCCCCCCTCCCCTGAGCCGCTACGCTAGGCTAATCTAGGATACATTTAGCGCTACATAATGTCGTTCGCGGTGTCAACGCGCGGCAAAATTTCAGTCGCTCATTTATTTCTGTCAGTTTAGCCACCTGATCAGACGTGGTGCGCGATAATTTAGTTCACATGTATCTTAGCTACTTTCAACGGATTCTTTTGAAATAGATGTATGTACTATTCGTCCACTTAACCAAGCTTCCAACTCCCCTCTAAAAACCCTGGATAGTCACTATATGGCTACCAAAAAAAAGCATAAATAAGAAAATTTCAGAAGTGCTGAGGTCAAGCTATCCCGCTCCAGGAACATGGCCGTTGAGGACACGGTTAGTGTGCTATTCATCGAATCACGTGGCCCTGTGCTCCAGAGCGGTACATTGAACAGCATCCGCCATTTTCTCTATAGAAAAAATTTTACCTTATGGCTGCATCAAGTTCCCCTTAGTAAGGATATGAAAACCTTGCAAAGCTTATTGAATAGTGACTTGGGCCAATCGAGTAATTTTCCGTCATACAAATTAAAACAATTATAAAAATAAGCACCAAGGTTTTCAATGTTATTATCTCTACCCCATGAAACTAGTATAAAATCCAACGGATTTGTCTTCTCACACATAGTGACAAACAAACTAGTGATTCGGGTAGCGTTTGAAAGCCACGCAGGTTTTCAGTTTGCAACCGGTCCCTTCTGTGTGTACCACAAACTACAGTTAGGTTTCTTTGTATTTCGGTTATATTGTTTAGATTCTGCTCTACGTTTTGGTCTTTTGTTTCTGTTCTCGCTCCGGTACACGCAGGAACAACCTTGCAGCTGGTTTACATTATTTCATTATTAGAAAATAAAATATAACAGCGCTGCTTTAAATTAGAGTAAATATTTAAAAAATTGCACTATAAAAATGACATTTTTCAAGATTTTTGAAAAAATGCATTTGTCATTCCAGTTTACGGTATGCAACTGACGCATATAGTTTTGCGCGTGTCAAAATTGAAGCACCGTGCGGTGATTCTTACAATAGCAACCTCTGTATTAAAGACACGTTCAGTATTTGGTCAAATCCTTCGGTTAGCCCTTCAGTGTCCGTATTATAGAGGTTTCTGTGTATTTTGATAATCATTTCGCTTTATTTATACACGATGAAAAGACAGCTTAGCTGAATTTAGACCGTCCAACAGTTTTAAATAATAAACTCCTATCGAATTCTAATATAAAATAATGACAAGTATGATGATTCAGTTATTGGAGATAACATAAGTGACAGTTACCTTGGTAACCAACTGTTATATACAAAACAACAACTTTATCCATACTGATCTGTTTCATAAGAGTTAGAAGAGGAGTTCACCCCCTCTAATAACTCTGATTTCATCATTCTCCGGACATGATAACAGCCTTGTATGGACAAAATGTCTGATACTACAGCATCTCCTTGTCATATACCACTTCCTATTCTTCCTAAAAAAGCACTTTACAAAGCTTTTGCGTTACATTTGTACCATTTCTAACCTAAAAATAACTTATGATTTATCAATCAACCTTGTGATTGTAGGGTGATTGAAAGTCTTGAACTAATTAAATTAGATATTACTTATCAAACTAATTGCTTTTGCAACGAGCCCACACAAAAAGACAATTTTCTGGGACTTTTGTTTGAAGGAAGGAAAACACAATACATAATAAAGGAACTGATGACATTGCAAAATATGGCATTATGGGGCGTTCCTTATGCTTCCAGGAGGAGGCAGGGATGAATAAACTTATCCACTCCACTCTAGATTTTATCGGCTGGATTAGGATTTATCTGCCTGATAGGTTACTATTCAACCCAACCTTTTTTTACATCTCGGTAGTTCTTCATTTCTACGTCGTGTTAAAACCACGTTTAAAACCCTTTTATATCGAAATGAATATATCTATGTTTCGATACGTTTTGGCTTTTTTGGCTTGCGATTTCACCAGAAAAAGAAATATCTGGGTTTTGCTGTGGAAGTAACCTTGCCCATGTCAGAAATGACTAATAAAAACCAGTAAACACCATTAAAAAGATTTTAGAAAAGGTAAGTTTTACAGCTTAAATAGCTTCTGGATCCTTGGAGATGTACCGGTCAGCAAGTGCGATTGTGTTACCTTCCTCATTAGCCACGTGATCCATTAATAGGAGTTCGTTGCGTGACAGGTGCTCGACGATTCCAGATCCGAGGGCATCACCAGTAATGTTAACCATGGTACGGAACCGGTCACTATAAACAAAATAACGTCACGTCAGTCTGTATATGGTGTGTGCAACACATACATGTCAAGTTCGATGCTATTGGAATGGTCCTAAAGGGGACCATATTGGAATGGTCCTAAAGGGGACCATATTGGAATGGTCCTAAAGGGGACCATATTGGCATGGTCCTAAAGGGGACCATATTGGAATGGTCCTAAAGGGGACCATTTTTCTGCTCAAAAATCATATAATCCAAAACTTTTTATTCAAGTTTTCACTCCCATTCCCATTCCCAGTTTTTATTTTTATTTTATTTGTGCATTCATTCCTATTTCTCCAGTCAAATACAGGGTTAATAGTCCCAGCCCAGTTTCAACCCTCCCAAGGATCCTCTACTAAAGAAATGGGTGGGCAAGTTTTGGCAGCCATGTTATCTAATCAATTTATGGACTGATTTTTCTTTTTGATAGTCTTTAATGATTCAAATAATGTGGTACTTACATGAACCAGTCAACTGACCATATAAGGGCAATGTCATGAGTTGGAAGACCAACTGCTTGTAACACTATCAACATTGTAACCAACCCTGCTGATGGTATACCAGCAGCTCCAACCGCTGCAGCAGTAGCAGTAATACTGAAATCATTTGTATTGGTAAGTACATAATACTATAGCTAACAATTGACAATATTACATACACTTACAGGTGATAATATACATGATACTCTTTGGTAACAATATACACACTCGTGACAATTCATTCACAAAGTATACATACACTGTGGTGACAATTTCACTGGCACTAAGATCCACCCCATTCATCTGAGCAATCCATAAACAGCTGACACCCTCATACAATGCTGTGCCGTCCATGTTGACAGTAGCACCCAGTGGCAACACAAAGCGAACAATTCTAGAGTCCACACGATTCTTCTCCTCACAACAACGCATTGTTGTAGGTAGAGTTGCTGAACTAAGAAAAAAAAATGGCATTTGAACCAGCTCTCTATCATTTTGTCTTAGAAAAAAAACTAACCTTGAATCAGTTCCAAAGGCAGTGATTAAGGCATCCCTCAAATTATATATGAATTTATAAGGATTCTTTCTTGTCAGGATAAAATAAATTATTGGAAGCAGAATCAAGCCATGAATAAGCAGGCCAGCAATGGATGTCACCATGAACATACCCAAAGCCTTGAAAGATGCAGCAATATCAGTCATGCGTACCAGATTCTGAGCAATTAAGCTACAAATACCAATTGGTGAAAGCCTACAAGAAAAAAAAATCACATTTCAAAGTACATACAAACAATTTTGAGGAATGCTTGTATCAGAGGTTTGAAATAGTTTGCCAAAAGACATGCTATCTTTTATCCTCACAAAGAGTGCAGCTTATATCATATATATAACATTATTTACAATTATTGCACACTAAATGCTGTACGTACCACATGACTATAGTAATCATTTGCATGATGACTTCATTCATAGCCTCCAAAACAACCCTTAGTGGAGCACCACGCTCACCTAGACGACCTAACACTATCCCAAACACAATCGAAAACATCACAATACCCAACACATTCAAACCATATCCTCTCTTCAGGCCATTAGGGACAACAAGCGATGGTGGATAAATCTCTTTCTTTACAGTAGTTATGTTCATTGTACCATTTGAAAATACCACTTTACCATCAGCTGTCTCATTTTTAGTTAAATCAACTGTTTGATTATAGTATGAGTATTTTCCTGGTGCACTCTTGTATTTTGTAGTTTTCTGTGATCATAAAATAAAATCATTATTACTGAAAAACATTAAAGACATGGGTGGGTGGTTTGGAACGAAACAAAGAGTCTATGAATTTATCAATCAGTTAATCAATCTATTAAAGAAATACCGTATCGTAGATAAGCCGCACCCCGAGTTTTAGGAACGTTTTTGAGAAAAAAAAGACGGAAAATAAACTTTTCTCTTTTTGATCGCCACTTGCGAACACAGCTTTCTTTGATTTTAAAGTGTTATTCCACTGCTCAATTTCTGTGATCCATGCATTTCAGTTTATTTAACGTGCGGTGTATGATCATAATTGTTAAGATTGATAAAAAAGGTAATAGCAAACTAGTAATTAACTTGAGTGATATAAATCTCATCGTGCCGCCAAAACTTCTAAACATATAGGATAATGCCGAAACCGTTTCATGTTTCAAAAAATATTAAAGACCGCGTTACCAAAACAAATCCAAGACAAAACGATTGAAAATGCTCTCTTTTCATTAGCTCAATAACCATGCACTTTTCAGTTGGATTTATTGACTTGTGTTTCTCAGAGCTACAACTGTAGATTTTCAGAGAATTTATAGTAATACTGAGAAGTTTGGATTAAAATTTCTGTTCCCGCCGTGTAAAACAAACTTATCACATTACTGATGTCCTGTCTGCAGTAAGTAGCACTGTGAATACTAATTTATGCAAATTAGTTTTTATTGGGCATTTACAAGTCTTTTCATAGATAAGCCACACCCCCGATTTGGGAACAATTTTTTGGAAAAAAAGTGCAGCTTATACGTGGATAAATACGGTAATTTTGACTAATCATTTGTCAGTCGAAGGGACGGATGCGAAAACAGCATAAGTGAAGATTGAGAATATTTTTGAAACTTTCCCGAAATGGAAGAAATTTTCCTTCTATTATTTGTTTTTGGTCTAAATAATCTTGTTTGCTATTTATTTCTCATGATCTCCTTGCAAAAAGCAGGAAAAAGACAACCAATAGTTATGGACTGCACCCTCCCCTCCCCCCAATAACTTTAGCTTAGGGTTAGTTCCAGCCTTAGGCAATGGTTAGGGGCTAGGGTTGCTTGACTGAGGCTTAGGGTTTGAATGGTTAGGTTTTGTGGATAGTTTTAATAGGGTTAGGTTTAGCTAAGGGTTAGGCTCTAACATCCAGGTTTCAAAATCAAAACCTCCTCCCCCAGAGTCCAAATAACTTTAAAATCACATCAATAGCATGGTTGATTGAGCTACTTATTTTGTCAATGCAAAACCATTTAAGTGATAGTTGAAGTCACAAAAATTAAGCGAGAAAAATGCAGTTTTGACGCAAATTCTCTACAGTGAAAAAAAGCACTATTTCGTTGTCCCAAATTTCAAGTTGCTTGTGTTCCRCAATAGCCAAAACATCCAAAAATTACTGTGGCAGCTCCAAGGATTTGCCTTTAGACAGTCTTTTAAGTGATTCTGTTCAGRCGAAAGTCCAAGTTAATCGAATAAACTGCACCAAATCTCTTAAAAAAGGACACATCAAGTTTGATTCTTTCAGCAAGTAAGCTCCTTCGCTACCCACAAACTTAATGCTGTCTTTTGTCTAAAGGCCAAAAGGCTATAAAAAACGGCTAAAAACGCATTTTCTGATTTCTAGCAGTACAGCTTTGAGCCAAAACAAACCAACTGTCAAAATCAGGAGTTTAGCTTGAATATGCAAATCTAGGATATTTTACGGTCTAGCAAGCAGTTGTCAAACAAGTCAAAGCCGTCGTAACTTGGGTCGTTTATTTTTTCCCTTTTTCAAAGGAAATCACAAGAAATAAGTAACAAACAAGAATATTTAGACTATTAGGACTGTAAAGGAGGCATTGCAGACAATTTTCTTCGCTTTCGTGAAAACCCCAAAAAATACCCTAAAGTCACTTATGCCGGTTTCACATCCAGCCCTTCAGTTAATCCGCAATTCATTATTTATCATATAATATCAATCAATCATTATCTTTCTAATCAACCAATACCTGCATGAACATGGCTTCAACAATATTATTAGGGAACATCATCCTACAGGACAACACAAACTCTTTGTTAATAAATGTAGTTTAGTTTATTACTTTCATATGTTAAGTCCCAGAGTCCTCCCGCATGATAGTCTGGTGTTGTACCAGCTAACCTATAACCAGTTGTCAGTCATTTCAATTGGTGTTCCTGGCCCTCCAGGGAAGAAACTTTAAGGAAATTTTCAAAGGCTTAATAATGTTTTACATGTAACAGCTGGCACAAAGACCAAGCACTATGTTTTGTTTTACCCAAACTTTTTCTAAACCTAACCATTAACCCAAGAAATCAGTTCACTTGAGTGAACCAAAATGGTTGGGGGTATTCATATAATAGCAATCACGAATAAGCAATGTTGTAGGAACACAATATTATATACATAATTAATGAAGCTTCTCTGTGTATATTAGCCCTGCGTACATCCATATATGGAAGTTGTTGTACGGTAGACTACTCACACTGTAAGCAACACAGAGATATTGATTGTCTGTGTTTGACTAAACAGTGATGGTACACACTGAAAAGAATAAGACTCCCACGCAAAAAAAAATCTAGTTACAATGAAATAAAAAACATTTGGAGTAATGTGCACTGTAGATGTAAACCATGGATTTTCAAACAGTGATTAAGAAGTACAAAAGTAGGATTAGTATAACAATGGTCTTTTTTCCAATAGACCCCATACAGACGGGAGGTTCTAGTTCCCAAAAGCCTGAAAATCCTTTGTTTTTGTTCTCTAGATGAAGCTGCTTTGACGTCACATGCAAGGAGTATATAATCCTCACAGCGAAAAAAAAATCTRWGMRCRMKWTTTAATATGAATGYAACCAAACTGGTAAATGTGATAATAAAATATTAACAACTTTGTTTTTATCAATAGGCAACCGAACAAGTAAAACTTAAACTTCTTTCAATGTTCTCATTTTAAATTTTTCACTTGTGYCAACATTAGCGCATCACAACAACTTTTCAGGGAATAATTCCAACTTTTAAAAGCAAACCAAAAAAGAAATACTGAAAACAACATTTTAGTGACCACAAACAAGTTGAACATGAAATATTCACGTGATCAGCATGTGGTACACTTGGATTCTAGTTAAAAAGAATTTGTTTTCGTTTGACTTTTTTGGTCCGATTCAGCGCGGGTCTTTCTTGCTGTGAGCAAACTGTGTGCCTGTTTTTCGTTAACGCACGTGGTACAGGCGCCATTATTGTCACTTTATTCAAAATAAAACTTATTCAAACTTTTGAATTTGAATTTCTTGGATTAACACTTTATTCTATCATCGCTACAATGGACACGTTGTAGAGTAGCGTTATAGATGAGTGCATACATAAAGATCACTGATTAAATAACCGTACATTTTGATGATGAAAAGCCAATCTGGATGCAGTGGAAATATTCCTAATCTAGAATCTGTTTTTCCTTTATCGATAAGCTTACTATTTCATGATCTAAGAGTACCTCGTGTGTGCTTAGTTTTAAGCATATGAATGGCTTTGCGCGAAAATATTCAGACACAGCACATGTATTCTGACTTTTATACGCATAATAAGCTCTGATATTGAACACTAGTTAGGTTCCAAAGTGAAATGAATACCAACATAGCCTCGAATTTCTTTCTTACAGTACTGTATATACATCTGTGTGGTCACCCTCTGCAGTTACACCAAAACACATGATCAAGTATTCACGCCGCGTTTAAACTTAGGGCAAAATTGGACAAAATATGTCAAAAAATATGTCAAAAAGTGTCAGAAAAGTCAGAAAACCATTGATTACGTAGCTCGATATTGATGTGGCATCGTTACCACTTGTTGACTTCCTTTAGGTATCTTTCTCTCATTATCATACCAACAATTCAATTGTATTTTTACCTTATCAAGTCAAGAAATGAATCCAGGTTTCTTCGTGGACCAGMAGTTTTTCCTTCTACTCGATTATCGTCAGACGGTCGATATTTTCCCGGTTGAATGAGAGCGACGAGGCCGATTCCAAGAATCACAGCAATGATAGTTGTACACAGATAGTACAGCACCGTCCTCCGTCCAATCTTCCCAGTGGCRTTTGAATCCAGTACACACAAAGCACAAATCATACTAAGCATTATTAGAGGAAGAATCAGCATTTTTAACATCGCCATGAACAATTCTCCAATGAAGCCGATCAGCATGATGGCCGTGGCACGGTCTTCAGGAGTTTCCAGCTCGTTGACAGGTTTATTAGCCAAAAATCCAATTATAAACCCAACAACAACTCCTGCTACTATCAAAACCATAAGAATATCTTGTTTGCAGCGCCCACAGAACATTCTGCAAAACGATCCACAACGATTCCCGCCAAAACGTATTCCATCAGTTCGACTCATGTTGTTGTTTTCGACAAGGCCAAAGTTCGGTTCTCTCTAGCTGATTCGAGTTATCTTCAACGAA